GTATGATACTGAGTGTTGCGTGTGGGACATCCAGGGTGATCCAGAGTGCGAACAGTGAGYTGTGTGGGCGCCCAGTCGCCATAGCCAGTTGAAGAGAACTCATATCTGGTTACGATATCTTAAGTACTGTCAGGGCGCATGTCGCCAGTTGCTGTATCGCTGTTTGCATGCAAGACAAGTGTGAATAATCGGAGTGTCAATGCACTTGTGCGAGGATCAGGGTCCTCGGTAGGCCTATGGGGCCCTGTTTGCAGCATTGCCCGCCCTAAGTGAAGGCGGGCCTGACATATCGCAAGAGGCCCTCGACTGTCAATTTCATATTTGGGGTCCAGGCAGTTGCGACGCGCCAGTTGGTTGAGAGAAACTCAGGCCGGGCAACAAAGACATTTCCACGGCCTTCCGTGCCTTTCCAAAGAATGCAGGCCCTGGGCGTGATTCGGAGGGATTTAAGGAGAGCCCCCATCTCCTCAGGAATTATTTAACGTCGCAGTCAGGACGATGATCACAGCCAGAATCAACACCGAAGTCCGCAGCCAGAAATATTTATAGACGGTCTGGTAGGCGTCTCATTAAAGGCTGGCATGCCCTGCACGACCTCTATTGCGCAAGCAGCGGTACGAAGGACTTGCTGCCCAAGCATGCGTGTACTAGTCCCAGCGGGTTGGCATGGTGACCGTGACCCGAGTGCTTCGTCCAGGGCCCTTCAAAGGCTTCGCCCGTCTCCCACCAGCTTGCTGCCCATGAAGAATGTCGACTCTCAAGGTTGAGCGCTCGTGACACCTCACATCGAGAGGACTCTCAAGACAGAACTCACTTCCTCACGGTAAGAAGAGATGAAGAGGGTACATAAGGAAGAGAGCAACGTACCTCTAAAATGCTGCCCCCAACCACAAATTTCTCACCGGTAACCTGATGTGCAGTTATAATGACCGGTCTTTGCCTCGGCACAACCAACAGCAGAATGCGGTTCCACCTTGGCTTAATATGCCACATCAGCGAGTTCTCATCATCCAGCATACATCCCGTATGTCACCACATAGCTCCCTGGCACGCCCACTCTACCCTGGGCCGCCTAATGTTCAACGCCAATGCCTTATCACTGCCCCACACCTCATGCGAAGCACCAATAGCTATTGCGAAGAACCAATGAAGCGCAATATGAACCAGCTCTGATACCAAATTGCAAGGAAAATAAGCAACAGCGAGATGAGAATTCCAGATCACACCATCACATTGAAAGCCACCGTGTCCAGAGAGCAGCATTGCACCAATAATACACCAATGGAGGTTCGTAGCACTGAAAACCAATGTCCATGGAGAGCATACTCTCTCCTCTCAACACAAGAGTCCATTTCCTTCACGCTCACACTTGGCGCTCAGCGCCCAGCCTACTCCTACACAGCTACTACAGACTACAAAAGACAATGCAACTGTTGACATCAGCGGCAGCCCGAAGTACTTGAAGATGTCGCCCATGCAGACATCGCCAATACAAGGTAAGTGCCCTCACATCATCATCATCATCATCATCCTTCACCTATCCCCTGACTACACCCACACCTGTCCTCTCTCTCACGCGAAGACCACCCCTGCGCCTCACTGTGTATCCAAGCCAAGCCCGCTATGGAGGCTGGCTATGGCGCTGCCCTCAGCAGCGCCCTGGTCTCCCACACGACCGCACGTGCGCAGCCTCTTGCTCCAATGCCGGCAGTCAGCCTGCGAGCAATCGCTCCAGCAGCGCTGCCGCCAGCCAGCAAGTGACCGAATGAATAGCCTGGCCAGAGCTCTTTCCTTTATGGGAAGAGCTGGCCTGCTCTCGCAGCCTGGCTGGGCTGGCCTGGGCCCAGAAGCTTCCGGAAGGCCCCAGGAGGCTGCCTGGATGCAGCAGCTACTGGGCTGCTGGGCCTCGTTCGGTTGGGCGCCCAACTGTCTCTGTATGAGGCTGCGAATCACGCCCAGGGCCTGCATTCTTTAGAAAGGCCCGGTAGGCCGTGGAAATGTCTTTGTTGCTCAGCCTGTGTTTCTTTCAACCAACTGGCGCGTCGCAACTGCCTGGACCCGAAATATGAAATTGACAGTCGAGGGCCTCTTGCAAAAAGCCAGGCCCGCCTTCACTTAGGGCGGGCACCTCCGCCTTCACTTAGGGCGGGTAATGCTGCAAACAGGGCCCCATAGGCCTACCGAGGACCCTGATCCTCGCACCTAAAAATTTATTTATTCCACCTGAAAATTGCATTCCGTTTTTGAAATTCCTATTGCCCTTCCAAAAAGTTTTTCTTGTAAACATTTTAATTATTTAAATAATTAAATTCCGAAAAAGAACCAAATCAACTTTTAAATCCGAATTCAACTTTCTTTTCGTTTTGAAAATCCTCGGATTTCTTTTCCAAATTTGAAATTTCGTTTTATTTTTCTCGAATTGAACCTTTTTCTTTTCCAACAATTCTTTTCTTTTTTCAAAGTAATTCGGAAATCTTGATTTAAATTATTTTCATAACTATCATTTTAATTCGTTAAAAATTCAAAATAAATCCCCAAAATATAGAAAAGCTTATTTTAATTTTTCCATTTATTCCAATTTTAATTTTTCTACATTTTGTCACGTAAAATAACCCAATTTTTTTTTATTGTCATTTAAAATTTCTTTCCAAGAGTTTTTCCCTTTTAAAAATTAATCGAATAAATTTGAATTTCATTATCTTGAAAATTCAAATTTTCCCCTGAATTTTCTGCAATTTTTTCCGCCAAATTTTATTCCATTTGAAATTTACATTCCGATTTTAATTTTTCTTTCGCAAAACTTTGCCCCCGAATTTTAATTCCTCCCCCCCCCCTCTCATGTCTACTTCCTCTAATCCCGATTTAAATCAACCATCATTTTTCTAAATCAGCATTAGAAACCACTCCCACATGCCACCCCGCCAATCCAAGACCTCCCAACGCGCCGCCGCCGACGCCGCTGCTGCCGCTGCTGCTGCCACCTCCATTGTCCCCTCCACTCCATCTTCTCCCTCTGCCCCACCTTCGTCCCTCCCCATGGCCGAAGGCACCTCAAGCATCAACATGGGCTCGCTCCGCGTGGATTCCGTCGAGGATATCCACCGCGAGCTTGTCGACCAGCCAGGCACCGGGGAGAACACATCTCTCCTCTCCATGTTTCAAGCACTCTCTGCCTCGCTCCGCAAAATCGAGGCCTCCATGACCTCCATATCCGATCACGTCACCTCCCTCGAAAACCACACACCCGCCATCACCGTCGTCACGACGTCATCACCCCCCTCCTCCTCCGGCCAATCCATCCAATCCACCCCCGCCGGCCAAACCGGCCAACCATCTTCTTCCGGCCAAAATAGCCAACCCCCCTCCTCCGGCCAATCTGGCCAAAGCCTCTCCGCCGGCCAAGCCGGCCAGGCCTCATCCTCCAACACCACCCCCCCACCGTCCTTCACCACACCTTCTTCCACCCCCGTCACTTCCCTTCCCATTTCCCTCCCCTCCTCACAACCTACTCCAAGCGCTTCCACCACTACACGAACCACTCCCCTTCCTCCTCCCCCGTCACCCAACCTCTCCTTACTACTTCCACCGTCCCCTTTGTCCACCCCTCTTACTCCCAAGTCCTTTCGGGCGTTTACCCCGCCATACCCCAACCTCCTCCTTGCTACCTCCTTGGTGACCACAGTCAGGATCACACCTGCTACGACACCTCTCCCGACGACCGCAGTCAGGATCACACCTGCTTCAACACCCTCGCTTGCATCGTCCCCCACAACGGGGACATTCCCCACTCCTTCCGCGCCACTGATATCGCGACGTTCTCCGGCCTCCCCCACGAGGACGTCCTCCTTTTCCTCTCTCAAATTCAAAATGCCTTCGATCTCCACAACATGCCCCTCGCTCATTGGCTCCCCACCGCAACCTCCTGCCTCCAAGGCGCCGCCGCTCAATGGTGGTTAACCGAAGCCAACAACCACCGAGCCAACGACCTTCCCCGCATCACCTTCCTTCAATGGGCCGACCTTCTCGTCGCCACCTTCCGTCCGCAAAAGACCATCGATGACTACATCGATCAATTTTGCAACCTCCGCCAAACCGGCCCCACCAAGCGATTCATCCAATACATTCGCTCCCTCCGCCTCCACATCCCGTCGACTCTCATTCCCGACTACGTCTTCATCTCCCGCACATCACGCGGGTATGCTTCCCCCACCTCGCCGCAGCCCTCGCCCATGAGCCCGAGCTCCCTCTCACCGATCTCCTTACCCGCCTTCTCCACCATGATCGCCTTCCTTACCTCCGCTCTCAACGACCAGCCGCCCCCAACCGCACCTGGTTTTTCCACAACATGGCCTCAAACGACTCGTCACTCCCCTCCGACGACGGCCTTGACTCCTCTCCCGAGTCCCTTGACCCAGCCCGATTCACCGAGGAAGACTTCCAGGTTGTCCATCTCATGAGGATGGAACGGCAACGCCTGGCCTCCCATCCTTCCTCCTCCTCCCAACCCCCTCGTCTCAAAAAGCTCACCCCCGCCGAACGCGCCTTCCTCCACGCCAACGTCGGTTGTTTCCGTTGCCTCCAGCTGGGGCATCAGCAAACCAATTGCCCCAAGGCTGGCCGCTCCAGCCACCAGGCTTCCCGCCCCACCAGATCCAGCCCTCCCACATCCACTTCCTCCTCCTCCACCGCAGCCTCTGGACCCTCCTCCACTTGAACACTGTCCCCCCGCCCCTTGTAGCCATGTCCTGGCACCAACAATTCGTCTGCCAACCCCTCCCCCGGCGACGACTTTCACACCGGACACCCCCCAGGTGTCGCAGTCTACTCCGCCTGCCCTCCTCCCGACGACGTCCTCTATTCCGTCGGCTGAGCACCCCACGGCCACATGTTCCACTACCCTCCTCCCCAACCCCTCCAACATCACTTTCTCCGATCTCGTTGAGGAACAAGACCGACACACTCGGCTTGTTAGATTTGGCCTCGAGCAGCGCCGCCTCAACACCATGATCTCCTTCATTTGTGCCGAGACCGCCCAATTCCAGCTCAAGTTCGTCGCCGTCTTCTTTGGAGCATTGACGGTGAAGTTTCGGGCCCTTCTCGACATTGGTGCCACCGGCAACTTCATCACGGATGCCTGTGTCCGCAAAGCCGGCCTCTCTTCCACCGGCTATGATTCCCCGATCACCATCCACCTAGGGGATAAGGACTCAGCCATCGTCGTCGACCGCGCAGTCCCCGAGACCACAATGACTGTCGGCCCTCTTCGCAGTCAGGTCTCCTTCGATGTCATGCACCTCATGTGTGACATCGTACTCGGGACTCCTTGGCTCGACCGCTACATGCCCTATACCTTCCACCCTCTTTTGTCTGCCTCTCCACCCCCCCCGATCCACCCCTTCACATCCCCTACCTTCTCCCTCCCTCCACCCCTTCCCCCGTCTCTCCTCACCAATTTCTTCACATGACCCGTGAGCACCCCGACTCCGCCTACTATTGCCTTGTCATTGACCGCGACCGTCCCGAGGACTTGCTTCCAACGGACAAACCCGACCAAGACCCCCCCTCCGACCCTTAGATCTCCGCCCTCCTATCCAGATTCAAAGACGTGTTTCCCGAATCCTTGCCCGCCGGACTACCTCCTGACTGAGGTGTTTCCCACACCATCGATCTCGAGCCCGACCACTCCCCCCCTTGCCGCCCCCCATACCAGCTCTCCGTCCCCGAGGCCGAAGAAATGAAGCGCCAACTCAATGAACTCATTAAGCCTAGCTCCTCCCGCTTCGGAACCAGCTGTCTCTTCGTCAAGAAGAACGGCACCTCGGAACTCCGCATGTGCACAGACTACCGCGCCTTGAACCGGATCACGATCAAGAACAAGTATCTGCTTCCCCGGATATCCGAACTTCTTGATCGCCTCCGTGGAGCCAAATACTTCACCAAGATCGACCTCCGCAGTGGCTTCCACCAGATCCGCATCCGCGAGGAGGACACCCACAAGACCGCCTTCCACTCCCGCTTCGGGCACTACGAGTTTCTCGTAATGCCTTTCGGTCTCACCAACGCCCCTGCCACATTCCAATCCACCATGAACCACATCTTCCGCGACCTCCTCGAAGTCTGTGTCGTGATCTACCTCGACGACATCCTTGTTTTTAGCCCCACCTTCGAGTCCCACCTTGATCATCTCCGCCAAGTTCTCGCCATCCTTCGCGACCAGAAATTCTATGCCAAGCTCAGCAAATGCACATTTGTTGCCTCTAGCGTAGAATACCTTGGTCACATTGTCTCCGCCGACGGCATCCGCATGGACCCCAAAAAGGTGTTTGCCCTCGTTGAGTTCCCCCCTCCCACCACTTTAACCCAACTTCGCTCCTTCACGGGACTCGCCAACTACTACCGCCCCTTCATCCACAACTTCTCCGACGTTTCCTACCCTCTCCATGAGCTCACCCGTGCCACCGAACCCGTCGCTTGGACAGACCGCCGCCAAGCCACCTTCGACAAACTCAAGGAGCTCATCACCACTGCGCCCGTCCTCAAAATCGCCGACCCAACTCGCCACTTCTTCGTCACCACGGATGCCTCCGACTTTGCCATCGGGGCCGTCTTATCCCAGCACTTTCCCCCCAACCCCGTGGAAACCCCTCCATCAAGGACTCCCCTACTCACTCCCAATGCCCACCCGGCGAGCACCCCATCGCATTCGCCAGCAAGAAACTCCTTCCCGCAGAAATGAACTACCCATCCTACGAGAAGGAGCTCCTCGCCTTGGTCTACGCCCTCAAAGTCTGGCGCCCGTACCTCGATGGGCAATACTTCACCATCCGTACCGATAACACCGTCGTCTCCTCCATCTTGACCAAGAAAGACATCACCCCACGCCAAGCCCGCTGGCTAGACTTCCTTGCCCAATTTACCTTTACCATTTGTCACACCCCTCGCAAGAGCAACCGCGTTGCCAATGCCCTCTCCCGCCGCCCCAATCACAAACCCCCCGAGAAAGTCTATGCCGCCATGACCCACATCCAGCTCCTGCCATCGCTCCGCCATCGCTACACCCAAGGATACCTCTCTTGCCCCGACTTGTCCACCATCTACAACAAACTCCGCGACCTCGACCCCGTCCCCGACTACTCCCTACATGACAACCTCCTTTACATCGAGACCAAAGGCACTCGCCGACTCTGCATCCCTGAGGCCCGTGGCCTCCTCACCCAGCTCTTGGCCGAGCACCACGACACCAAGACCGCTGGCCACCTTGGTTTCCAGAAAACCTTTGACACCATCTCCCGATATTTCCATTGGCCTTCTATCCTTGCCGACGTCAAAGCCTATATCCGCTCGTGCCCCACATGTCAGGCTGTCAACCCCTCGAACCGGGCCAAACCCGGTAAGCTCCAATCATTGCCCATCCCCACACACCGATGGCAGTCCGTTTCCATGGACTTCGTGTGCGGCCTCCCCAAGACCGACCGCGGGCATGATTGTATCTACGTCATTGTTTGTCGCCTGACCAAATGTGCTCATTTCATTCCTTGTACCACCTCGCACAATGCCAAAGACATTGCCATTCTCTTCTTCGACCATGTCGCCCGACACCACGGCCTCCCCGAGAATATCATCAGTGATCGCGACCCCCGCTTCCTCTCCCAATTCTAGAAACAACTCTTCCATGCCTACGGAACCTCACTCAGGTACATCACTGCATTCCACCCACAGACCGACGGACAAACCGAGAAGATGAATGATACTCTCCAAAGAATCCTGCGGAAGTATTGTCATCCCCACCAGCATGATTGGGATCAGCTGCTCACCACCGCCGAGATTGCCTACAACAATGCCGTTTGCCCTTCCACCGGCATGTCCCCCTTTTACCTTGACCTTGGCTATCACCCCCGCTTGCCCTCTGATTTCTTGCTCCCCTCTCAACTCAACCCATCCTCCCCCTACCCCTCTCTCAATGAATGGGTTGCAACAATGAACCGTCTCCTAAGAGAAGCAACCGAGTCAATCCAACACACCCAGGAACAACAAGCTAAACAAGCCCAACAAGCATCGCCGTGATATCACCTTCCAAGTCGGGGACAAGGTCTGGCTCTCCGCCAAACGCTTTGAACCCGAACAGGGCTTGTCCAAGAAACTCTCAAACAAGTGGCTCGGTCCCTTTCCCATCATTGAACAAACCTCCCCCGTTAATTACAAACTCCAGCTTCCCCCTGACATGAGCCGTGTCCACCCTGTCTTCCATGTCGAATACCTCAAAGAATACCATGAATCCCGACCACAGTTCTCTGATCGCCCTCACCCTCGTCCCCCTCCTATCATGCTCCCCACTGGACCTGAATTCTTCGTGGAATCCATCATTGGCCGTAGAACAACCCAAGTCGCTGATCACCCGGAACCAATCAAAGAATACAAAGTCAAGTGGACAGGCTACCCGGATGAAGAATCAACATGGGAACCCCTTGAAAATCTCAAGAATGCCATGAGACTTGTCCGTGCCTATGATCGTTCCCACCCTGCATCCTAGCTATCCCCCTGCCTATACCTGGCCAAAACCCTGAACCCTTGCTTAAACCCTGCTACAACCTCGCCACCTTGTTCTACACACACCCCTGCCACAACCACCCTTGCCCTTGACCCCGATTCCTGATGTCTGATCTGCCCTTGTCCCTTGCCGAGCCCTGCCCCATTCGCCCTCCCCACTTCCTTGTCCATCTTGTCCAATGCTTGTGGACCTGCGCGACGCAGGCGATAAAGGATCTAATGGCATGCGCACGAGGACGATGGCTTGCTGCACCACTGATTATGCAGCTGGATTGGCCACCATGCTGCTACACCTGGCCGGCACCCTACCTCGCAGACTCCCTGGAGCAGCTACTTGTGACATGAATGTACCAGTCTGCGACTTCCTTGCTACCGGATCAGACCTCACTGCAGATCATGTACCGGACGTGCCCACAGCCATCGAACATGGACCTCTTGACTTTCCACGCATCAACACTCAGCATCTTGTTTCTCCTTGACGAAAACCATTGAAGACCCCCCTTGCCGCTGACCAAGACCTTTGCAGTTCGCCTTGCTTCCATCATCGACCTGACCAAGACCTTCGCAGTTCGCCTTGCTTCCATCATCGACCTGACCAAGACCTCCTTCAAGACCCCTATTGCTGCCGCTGACCTGGGACTGCTCAAGACTTCCGAAGACCCCTTCTTGCTGCCGATCAAGACACTTGAAGACCTCCCCCAGACCCCGTGACCCATTGCAGACCTCCGACCCCGTACCCACATCCCATCAAACATCCCAGCCCTTGTACATGCAAATTGTGCCCTTGAGCCTTGCAACAAACAATTTTTATTTTTTCTTATTATTATTTTTATTTCATCCCCTGACAACCTATAACCCTGTAGAATTTCCACTGAAATACCCGTTCACACTTGTAGAACATCCATAGGAAACCCTGTTACCTGCTCTCCCTTGTAGATCATCAATAGGAAACCCTGTTCCCTTTTCACCCTTGTCAACCATCTATAGGACTACCCTGTTCCCCCTGCAGCACCCCTAGTTCATCATTAGCAAATCCCTGTTTCCCTAACCATTGTTTCCCTTACCCAGTAGGACTTCAATAGAAGTCCCCTGTTCCCTGAACTTTGTTCCCCCTTAACCTATAGCAAACCATGCAGTCCCCTTAGTTCATCAGTAGGACTACCCTGCTCCCTGCCGTCCATATAGTTCATTTGTAGGACTACCTTGTTCCCTCTTACTCACGCAGCCCATGCCACCCACATTATACCCCTCGTCCCTTTCGACTTGTTAACCAGTGATCGGCCCCGTCCCGTCCTTCACAGATTTCAGCATTGCTTCATGATTTTGGCAGCCGGGACGTTGCCTTCTAGAGGGAGGGGATAGTGTTACGGACTCCGCCAGGGCTCGATCCCTGGTCTATCTTTTTGTTGTTTCGGCTGCATCCCGTTTTTGGCCTGGCACCCTTTTTCCAAACCCCTCCTTTGGTATCGTAGGATTTGGACAACTGGCGCCATGCTGCAATTCGGGCGCCACTTTCAAATACCGCATTTTTCAGTTTTGCCCTCGGGACCTTTGCAGAAATGCCCCTGGTACCGTTGTGAGGAAACCCGGGGAGGGGCGCCTACCGTTCGCTGAGGCCAAGGGCAACAGCGCCTGTCACTCGCTGCGCCCACATCAGAGGTCCTCAGCGGTCGGTAGGGAGATGAGCGTATGTTTGCCTGTCACTACCTTTCCGCGAAGCGAGTTCGAAAGCCCTTTTCCACTGCGCTGCAAATTTTAGAAATGAAATAATCATCATCCCCAAAATATTCCATTTCAAGAGTTCTTTTCAGTGCACGGCAGATTCAAAAGCGAAATTATTTCCAATTCAGTGTATTCCGCTTCAATCCGATCCAACATACATCAACGCTTGCTGTCATGACGAACAGCTCTCTCTTCGATGGACAATGGCAACTGCCATTGTGCTCAACTGACCATTACTGTTTCACTATGCCCCCATRAATGCTCGGTTTAATAATTGGAAATGTACCCCTTTGCCGCTGAGATGTTCAGAATGAGCCGTCTTTACTGGTGAGGGCAGACGAGCAAATTGAGCGCATTCATTTTCCATTCACTCAGTGCAAATGCATCCGGCAACGCGCGTGACCAGGGGCGTCTAATGAAAGGTCTCCTTTTTTTTTTGTTTGTAATTAATACTTATAGTACAAGCAAAAATTATGAAATGGAGCCTCGAGAGACCTCTCTGTGCTCGGACTCGAATGCAGTGGAGTGATCTCATCACCTGCGGAGTGACCTGCTTCACAACCAGCGGTAATGCTTGTGTACTTCTGCAGCGGCAAGCATGATCTCGTCATCAATCAAGTGGCCCGCTTCATAACCAGCGGTAATGCCTGTRTACTTCTGCAGCGGCATGCATGATCTCGTCATCAACCAAGTGGCCTGCTTCATAACCAGCGGTAATACCTGTATACTTCCGCAGCAGCGAGCCTGATCTCATCATCAATCAAGTGACCCGCTTCATAACGAGCGGTAATGCCTGTGTACTTCTGCACCAGCGAGCCTG